GGACAATTTAGAGTTAGGTTAACCTAGTAAAGGCGACATTAGGGTTGGTTTGAGTTAGATTATAGTTAGTTTAGGGATATTTTCACGCTAGGGTTAGTTTCAGGAGAGATTAGGATTATTGTTAGGGTTAGAAGACCTAAATAATTACATGCATAGAATGTGGTTAAATTACTCTGTTGAAATAAGAATAGAACTTGTGCACTATGGTAGTGCATAATTCCATTGTTGGTAAAATTTATTTTGATAAAGTCTCAAAGTGTTATGCAGTAATATTTACTGATGACGTCTCGAGCACAGTTTATTGCTCAGTAAATATAACTGTATAACACTATCAAACTTTATCAAAATAAATTTAACTCACAATGGAATTATACTCCGTTGATACTCCAGTCTAAAACTGAGGGCTATTTTTATCACATGTGTGAGAAAGGTATCCTCTGTAACACTTTTCCACAGTTTTTACGTATTTTTTCATACATATGTGTATTTAATACACAAAAATGCCTCCTTCACGTGATTGGTCCGTTCGAGGTCATTCGCTGATTGGTAGTTAATGGTGCTTAAATATTAACTTTGCCTTAATAAACTTGTAAATATGCAGCTTCATACTGTTTTTCAGCACCAACCCTATGATGACTGTAATTAATCTAGTTAATTGTATTACAAGTGTGTCCCAAAAACCATTTGCGTTGTTCTCCGTAAGAGATCAATTCTAAAGTAACCTCAGTCTGACTGTAATTCAGTGGTAAACATCAGTGACTGAGTGACTAACTAAAGTAGAACTTGGCGAAACCTTCTTTATTTCAGGTTTCTGAACTGCATTAAGGCAGATATAAAGGTAAGGAAAAGCATTCAATGGAATTAAAATAGACGGGAATGTATAGGAAAAAGAACAACTACTTAGGGAATAGTGAAAATCTAATAAATCTAGGATATTACAAAGAGTAAATGCATCTGTTTTACTTAAAATAACTTGAGCCGTATCACCAATTGGTTTTTATTGTCTTGAGAGCTCCAATTAGGTAGTCTACACCTTTCTACATTGTTCAAACCAGCAGTCAAAGACTTCATCAACCGAAATCATGATTTCAATAAACCAACCTTAACTTTTTCCTATCTCCCTAACATTGCTGGACGTAGAAAACGATGGTTTGTCTTGAATTACATCTGTCCTAGCCGTCTCAATCGATCTGGCTTTGACAACCGCACATCTCGTAGCCGATGTTGGATCGTAAGTCGACAACAGTTAGAGAACTACTAAAAACCACAGAGTACTGAACAGATGTTTCATTCCAGTTCGGGACTCTTCAATAGTACCAACACATAGCCTCACCTTCAATTGAAATAGGACGAAATGGCTACCCCTAGTTTTCAATGGTTTTTTCACCGATGTCAGCTCATTATCATGCTTGAAACTGTTCAGCTCTCTGCAAATCAACTCAAACTTTTCTTAAAAAATACAATTTTGTAAATTTTGGCTCTTTTTTACCTACCTTGGAAGCATCGTTTCAACTACAGGCGGAACTGACGAGGATATAATAATAATAATAATAATAATTTTTGCTTTATTCCAAAAACAGTATTAATGATACAGCAAGGAATTTTCAGCATTCAGTACAGTATTGCATCTATCAAAGCAACGAGGATCGGGAAAGCAAGACAAGCTTTCACTACTCTCAAGTCTGTGTGGAGGTCAACAGCACTCAGCATCAAAAATAAGATCCGGATTTTCAACTCCAATGTGAAGTCAGTCAGTACTACCATACGGATCAGGCACTTGGCCAGTGCGTCGTAAAGAGCATCTCAAACAAACTACAGACCTTCATTAACAGTTGTCTTCGCTCAATACTACTCAAGATCAGATGGCCGGCCAGAAAAGATCAGCAACAGAGATCTCTGGCAATGAGCGAACCAACCAGGAACCGATTGTGAAACAAATAGGCAGGAAGAAATGGACATGGATTGGCTGGCCACACTCTGAGGAAACAAGCCATCAAGTGACATCACTAGACAAGCCATTGCTCGAGTGGAACCCGGCCGAAAGGGAAGCGGCGAGTTGGTCGTCAGTGCAAGGATGATTTGGAGGAGGTCATGTGAAGAGGAGATGAAAGCATGTGGACAGACTTGGAGCCAGGTGAAGATTCTAGCAGAGGACCGAACGCAATGGAGACGCACGGCTGAAATCCTATGTTCCACTAGGAATTAAAGGATACATAATGATAATAATACAGAAAGCGCTCAGTTAACCACTCGAAAACGAAAATAACCTTGTCAATGCACTAACAACATATGAATGGATATTGGTGGAGTCGGGAACATCATGAAATAAAATCACAAACCTGAATTACTCTTGGTGAAACTGCTACAAAGCATCTTTTGTTGTAGTGACTGGATTATTTAGGGTTTAGGATTTAAAAGGATTTTTTTTGAGTACTGATAAATAACTAAAAATCGCCTAAAAGTTTAGCAGTACATTAAGAAAGCATGTATAATACACATGTATTCCCCATGATTTTGGCAAAAAGTTCAGTAAGCACGATGTCATAGAAACCTTCGTTATACAACAACGCCTACAGTTGTTTTTTTTTTTGTTATCCTCCATCTTAAGGCTATAAATAGAATCAGCTGCTATATTCTTTACCTAAGTATTTGTTTATGTCTCATTACCCGTAATGCTCAGTTAAAATTATATCTCTAAAGGTTAGTTTGTAGGGATTTGTTTTGTTTCAATTCTTATCAGAAGCTGACATCAGTTAGAGAACTATTGGAAAACAATGGAACGCTAGACAGCTGTTTCGTCCTAGTACGCGCCAGTAGAGTTCGAACCCAGAACCTTCCGGTTACAAGTCAAGCTCTTAGACCATTCAACCACTAGGATTCCATCCAATAGCTCACAAGTTCCAACTTCTACCAATTTGTGATTTCAGTGTCTTCGGAGAGTATATCTCCTCAAACGCGACATGGTGGATGATATTCTATGGAGTCCTAGTGAGAAGTCGTGACTAGTAGAGTCCACCAGGGGTTGGGTGTGGAGACAAATACTCGTCAATGACACTTGCTGCAGTTCGCGCTATATATCGCGAATTAACAGAAGTTAGGATTCGTGGGCGGAATGGTCAGCGGGCATGCCTTGAACCCTAAGGTCCTGTGTCCGATCCCCAATAGGATTGTATGTGTACCGTCGAAGAGTCCAAAAGTAGGACGAAACGACTTCTTACTGTTCTCTGGATTCTGAAAGTTCTCTAGATGACAATAATCCGTTATGAAAATTGAGATTGTATCATAAAAAAGATGGGTTCAAAGAAGAGTTGTTCATTTTTCAGTGATATCATTCTCAGGGTGTACCATCACGTATACATGATACACCGACATTAGCAACAAAGGGTGTGTTTCTGGTGATTTCGATAAAACTTCTAAGTTTCTGATAACGACCAAGAGATTCCTAAGGAAATTACGTTATACAGAGAAATCAGACCAAATAAAAGTTAAATATGTAAACTTAGTAACGTAACATACAGAAAAATCATTCTCTTCCCGGCATTAATCCTTCTATATAAGGGGGTGATGACATCACTCTGATGAGTAGTCAAGATTACATCAATAAAGTGTTATCTACTATATCAGATGAAAAATTTCTTCAAAAGGAAGTCGTCCAGGAAAACTAAACTGAAAAAAATTGAAGGAAAGCTGACACAAATCCTGAAGAAAATGATAAGTGAATAGATCATTAAATGCGAGTTGTTCTAGCAAATAATAACCCACTTCACCATACCAGGGCTCACAGATACCTTTCCATCTGTCATAAATTATCGCGATGATTATAGTGTGGCGAATTAATTTGGATTCGCTAATTTAATAATTGACGTAACACATTTGAGGAGGTTCAGTTGGGCTCAACTAAAATTAAAAGAAAGTCAAGCTGAGATCTTCGAATCTCAGAAACTATGTGCTAAATCCTGGAATCTATAAACAGAAGTTTATTCAGTCACAGGACTTACAACAGACCTATTTTATCGAAACATTTTATCCGTAATTGTTTCCTCTCTTTTCTCATTAAAACACCTCTAGTGCTTATGACGGTGATCTTGGCTTGACCTTCTTCCTGCTTTAATTGAACTCTACTCAGTTCCGACAGCTTCATTACGTCACTCAGTTTAATTGCTTAATTTTGCTGTGATATCAACTTGATGACGGTTCCTGTATTATTTAATGTAAAGTCTCTTGATTGTTTGAATTCAGTGTGCGCATTCCGTCCAATTTGACGCTCGTTATCTGGATGTACCTGCATTTCCCAGTCATTGATGGTGTTCCCACTGAGGCTCGAACCCAGTACCCTAGGAATGATATGTCTGAAAACAGTAACTCTTTACAGCGCATCTTTTTCTTTTAATGACCTAACTGGGATTTTCAAGCTACTTAAACTTCTTCGGCTTAATATACATCAGGATAACAAAGCCAGCCACGACTGGAAAAGCGAGATAGACATTCATTACTCCGAAATCAGTTCGGACAAAAGTGGAATTTTCAACACAACTGTTAAGTCACTCGGTTCTTTTACATGGATCAGAAACTTGTCGAGCGCGTCTCGAAAAGCATTTCTAAAAGGTTACTGTAGACTCTTATCAACAGCTGCCTTTTCTGACTCCATATTGCAGATCAGCTGGCAAGTGTAAAGCATTAGCAACAAGAAGCTCTGGGAACGAACCAATCAATCAAGAACCTATTGCTCAACAAATATTCAGAGGAAAATGGAGATGGATTGGGTATATGCTGAGGAGACAGTCGAATAACATCGCGTGCCAGGTAATACCTGGAGTGGAACGAGAATGGAAAACGATGAGTGAGGCCACTGAGGTGATGAGACACTAAGGGAAATCGTGGGTCCAGCCAAACAGGATTGTAGAAGATAAGACAAATCGGAGATATATTGAATTCAATATCAATACTAAAAGGTTTTAAATTACTGAAAATAATTTTTCCCTTGTTTACCCCTTTTTCAGAATACATGTTCCTATTATTCTCAAGGATGGAGACCTGGTCGTCAAGAAGCTCCATTAAATTCAAATCATAATTATTTTCTGTTAGCTGACAATGGAACTGCTGGTAAATTTGGTGGTGAGCTAGGTCTTCGTCGACGTTTGGAACAGCACTTAGCTCAACAACCCATTGATATGCGACGTTATGGTAAGTGGACTATCATAATAATCAGGTTTCTCTTAAAATTGTATTGTATTAGTCACCTACCCTGATAATTACTAAGTCGATCTCATAGTTCCACTCAAAATTATCATATTTACGGTGAGAATACCCGATTCAAAAGAAGGTGACTTAGTGACTTAGTCTCGTAACCTGAAGGTCCCAGCTGCGACTCCTGGTGGGGTCGTTGGTGCGCATTGATGAAGAGTTCCAGTGTAGGACAAAGCAGCCGTCTAATGCTTCGTGCTTTTCAATTTTCTCTCTAACTGACGTTGTTTCTTGGAGAAAATCCGACAGCTGTAATTTATTCACTTAACCGTACAATCGTAATTATATGCATTTATTTGTGGGCATGCGTGTATGTGTGTGTGTGCGTGTTTACATTCAGCTGGCCAAGAATATCAAAAACATCGGCTTAGAATATTGTTGACATCACCAAAAATGTTTTTGAATAGTGCAGAATAATCAAAATGTAACTAAAAGTGTGAAGATTTGAAAGTTTAGATGAGAGGCTGTTTAATATGCAAAACAAAACAAAAAACGGTTTATGGGATTGGGCGTTAGTGGAGACCATAGCATAGAGACAGGCATCAAAACATATTATGTGACAAATGAGCAGAGTTAGCAAAACGGTAATTGAGCTAAGGATGTTAATATTATTTATAATGCCGAAAAAAACATGGAGAAAAAGACAGTAATCACTGCAAAGCATTTATCACAATGAAGTTTAAAATAATGTTCAACGTAGGAGGTGTACATAGGCATGTTTTCTTTGTTTACATAATTCAGATTCTTCTGTATGAATAGTGTTAATACCTCAGCATGTACAAGTGTTAGTCAAGGAAACATGAGGAGGAAAAATAGCTAAATGAAACACTGTATACTGAGTGAAGCAGCAAGAGAGAGGGAGTAAACCTAGAGTTTTTTTTTAATTCCTTCACGTTCCCAATGGAACATAGGGCTTCAAGCTAGAGGCTTGAAGTTTCTGTAGCAGTGTTTATTTTTACAGGGTTGGGTTGCTAGCCTTATGCCCAACATTTCCTCTTTACCATGTTTTTATTACTGGCTTGCCGAGATAAAGGAGTGCGTTGGCCGGGGATCGAACCCCGGATCATGTGCATGGTCGGCGAGCGACCTAACCGCTGTGCCACCGACGCACAACACCCATTGACTGGGTATTGGTTTTCAGGTGAACCAAACACACCCATCCCTGCCTCTTGCGAGACGAGAACGGCATCCAGGATCATCCTGTGACGCAACCACTCGAGAGCCCTCTCCCTCGGTGGGCCAAATTTATGGGCCAATCCTTGAGGTAATGCAATACGAGACCGACCCGTGGACGGGGTTGAGCAATCTCACAGCACCCGTCCGTAATGGAAAAATACAGGTAATTTCATTGGTCTCAGTTTAGAGACCGTTGCAGAAATTACACTGCAAAGAACAGATACTACACATGATCTCAGCTCAGAGAGCCGAGAAGCAAGTATTCCAGTTTAATTGCATACATGAACCAGTCGTTGAGTTGTCTAGTCTGAAGTGCAGATCGACAGGGATTCCTACGCTAGACACACTGACTGAAAGTTGAGTGCTAACAGCCAATAGGTCACCATTCATAGATAGATATGCAGATATTATAATTCATTTCGATACCTTGTACTCAGCGTATAAGTGATTGTTTTCGCTGTGTATTTAGCCTAGATAGATATGTAAGCCATGTGGATGTTTCCTTTTCACTCCTTTGCTTTCCGAGAGTGGGATATATGGCTGTGGGCTTTAAGGTGTGAAGTTCCAGGTGCCGTGGTGTTACTGGCCTCATACCTGATCCTCCCTCTTCATTAGACTTACTGCCGGCTAGGCAAGTTTTAGGAAGGCATCCGTTGGGCGGGAATCGAACCCTCAGACCATGTGCATGGTTGGTGATCATTCTACCATCGAAGCATCATTGTGCCATGTGGAAGTTTATCATTTTAAAAAGACTTTCCAATGTCCACTAAATGCCCGAGGTTTGTGACTTCGAATTGTTTTCACTCGTCGTGTGAAACACCAGTTTTTTAGTTTATTTCTCAGTCACCTACTATAAGAAATTCTGTTGAATTGACTCTGTGAATATTTCAATGGACTCTTACATACATTTCCTTTTTTAGTGGTTTTTCATTAAACTACAAAGCAATAGTGATTAGTATTCACTTATTCACTACATACTATTGTATTGTTTGAAGGATTGCTGCAAGCACAGAGAACATGTCTGGATCATATATATGATAATGGAATAGTGTTACGAGAAGATCATGAAATACACAGCAAGTGATATTTCCAACACAGTTCACCTTTTTCATACATCTCACTTTCATCACTTAAACTACACTATTATAAAAAAATAAATGTTAGAATATTTATAGTTATATAGTGTATAGTATGCATAGATTTGCTTTACACAAATGTAGTACGCTAGTTTTATAGTTTACTTAGCTCAAATTATATAACTTATCTATTTGTTTCTTTTTTATTGGTGTTAATTTGAGGTGGTCTGTCTGTTACACACATGCATGTGCACAAAATCCAAGGAATCCACAGTTCAACTACTTATATCCATTCCTTTGAGTACTGAGGAATGGAACATAAGGCTTCAACGTTGAGCTTTAAAGTTTCAGTAGGCAGTGGCGTTGTGTTTACCATAGGGGATTTCTAGCCTCATTTTCCAGCTTTCCCTCTTTAACGGGCATAAAAGCGGCTAGGAGAGATTCAGGAGTGCATCTGTTGACCCAGAATCGAACCTGGTTCGCGATCGGCTATGCACATAACTCAAAACTGGGATCGTTTTACTGCTAAGCTGAAAAAAAGTATTGTGGCTAGACGTGAACATCATTGGCTTCAAACCATCAAATTACGCAATCATTAACTATTGGTATGAGCTACTTAGAAATGTGTACGTTGTTTGGTTAGGATGTTAAGAGATGTTAAGAGTCAACGGTTGAAACTCCTTTTTCAGATGACTCAAAATCATTCATGCTTTCTCATCTCCGACATTCTGAATACTTTGTACTAATCTTCGTGTGGTCACTCTGCTTCTGTTTTTCACACATGTTTTTCAGTAGTAGTATTGTTGAGTACCTCTTCTCTTATTCTGTGTTCTTTTTCACTATGTCACGACTTGGGATGGTGCGCAGGAAGAGAACTTCAGCGGGTCACCAACCACGCGAGAAGTTTGGGTTCAGTTTCAGGCTAATGAATGCCTCTAAACTTCACTTAGATAGCAGTAAGCCGGGAAAAGAGGAAATTCTAGGAGTAGTGCTAGTAATCCTACCTCATAAAAAGAAACAACACCATCGCCACTGAAACTTCAAAAAGCTTGAAGCTGTATGTTCTACTCTAAACATAAGAAATGACGGAAGTTTTGTGAGCATGCTTGATTTAATGGATAAACAAATGATATTTATCAACTTAAGTGTGTCACCGCTCCGAGCACCGGAATTACAGTCAGTTAAGTTCAGTTTAGCTAGATGTTGTTGTTGTTATTATTATTGTCGCCTTAGGTTCCGAGTGGAACACAGGGCTTCAACAACACATCCCCATTTTATCCTATTCTCTACTGTAGCCTCTAGCTGGCCCCACGACTGCGCATAATCTCTTTTCTCCTCCTCACACTATCTCCTCCATGTTTCCCTCGGACTCACACCCAACTCGTCGTTTCCCGTTCGCATTCCACTCGAGGTATTGCCCGGCACGCGATTTCATTCGACGGTCTCCTCAGCGTGCGTCCAATCCGTCTCCATTTTCCTCAGAATATTTGCTGAGTAATAGCTTTTTGATTGCTTGGCTCGTTCCTTAAGCTTCTTGTTGCTAATTGTTTCTGATCAACATTTTAATATTCAGTATGGGGCCAGCAAACGCAGCTGTTGATAAAAGTCTGCAGTGACCTTTTAGAAATGCTTTTTATGACGCTCGTGCCAATTTACTGACCGATATCGAAGAACCGACTGACTTGACATTGGTGTTGAAAATCCTAATTTTGTCCTTTATGCTGAGCAGAGCAGATTTCCAAACTGGTTTTAGAGTGATGAATATCTACCTTACCTTTCCGATCCTTGCTGTCGCCTGTAGTTAAAATGATGCCTGCTGCCTAGATAACTGAAGGAAGTAACCTCTTTCCCATTTATTCTACTGATAGTGATAGCTATATTATATTGTTTGAAACTGAGTATTCACTCTTTACACCTAAAGACCGGGATCCAGTTTTGGGGTTAAGAATAATCATTCCACAGAAGGACAGTTGTGCCAACCCTTCCTGTGTTTCTTTTTAATCCGCAAACAGAAGAATAAAGTTTCTATAGTTTGGTTTGTAAGTGTTAGTTATGTTTTTACGAATTGATCACGGATTGATATCAGTTAGAGAACGATTGAAAACCAGCACGGAGTACTGGACAGCTGCTGTTTCATCCTAGTTTGGGAATCATCGGCAGTACGCACCCACTGCCAGGATTCGAACCCAGGACCTCCCGGCCACAAGGCAAGCTCGTACATCATTCAGCCACTGGGGCCTGATTCAGCAGCCAACCCATGAGTTCTAACTTCTACCAACTCGTGAATTAGCGCTACCCCAACCATTGTCGTTGGTGGGACATCCATCCACACACGTGACATCTAATTGGACCTAACTGGTCACGACTTCTCACTAGAACTCCCAGTGGGTGTGTGCTGCCAATGATTCTCAAACTAGGACGAAACAGTAGCTGTCCAGTACTCCCTGGTTTTCAATGGTTCTCTAACTAATATCAATCCGTGATCAACTCGTAAAAGAATAAACTTTCATTTAGGAGTCAAGGCAAAATTGACTTCAGTTGCACAATAGTGTTCCTATCTCTATCTCTCGAACTAGTTGAAAATTTGTTAATTTTTAAAATTTAATGCCAGAAACTATCGTTCTTCTGATTGAAATTCTTCCAATAAATCCTCGAAGTGTTTATGTCCTAGTGTGCATATTGAATTTATTTCCTCTCACAGTTCTAATTTAATTCAACGGTACATAGACGAAGTATTGCGTTAATGTTAGATGTTTGGAGGATTTTGACAGGAAGTTCTCAGACATTTCGACCTGCGTCACCTAGCGTTATAGTTAGAGACGTTATCACTCAGCTACTAGGGTTCACGATTGACCTCCTGTAGGATTTTATTAGTGTCTTTTTTTCCTTCACGTTCCCCAGTGGAACATAGGGGGCTTCAAGCTAGTGGCTTGAAGTTTATTTTGCAGTGTTTATTTTACAGGATGGGGTCGCTAGCCTCAGGCCCAACCTTTCCTCCTCACCAGCATTATTTCCCGCTTAGCGAGGTAAAGGAGGGCGTCGGCCGGGGATCGAACCCCGGACCATGTGCATGGTCGGCGAGCGTCCTAACTGCTATGCCACCGACGCACTTTATTATTGTCTAACTAGCACCAATAAGCATAAAACCTAGGTTCAGAGCTTCCTACAGATCGCCTACAACCACTTAACATGAAGTGAAAAAAAATGTACTACAATCGCGACTCCCTTAGACTAACTGCTATTGTGCACCAAGAATAGGCACTCGCCTCTCCTCCAAGTGACTACTTAAAGTATTCTGCATTCACCCTCTAGTCAATTTCAAGAATCGGATGCCGTCAACAATTGTGTCCAACATCAGACTGTATAGTGATAACAATAATAATAAAATATTAACAATGTGATTCTATCATATCTCTAGTAAAGTGAAACTTGTTCTACTCTACTTCACATCATCATATTTACTTAGCTACATGTAAAACGGCTTTTTTTAAAAAATAGTCAAAGAAGTAAATAAAAATCACACAAAGTATGTTAAATATTTGGCTGTTAATGTTATCTGTTTAACAATCTGTGGGAGTATTTGTCTGCTTGTATTCATCTTTATAATACAATACAGCCGTATGAATAGTGTATTGAATATGCCTTTTTGTGAAATGACAAACTGTTTCTTCTTATTGATTACTAACATTTTTGACTTTGCCTGATGTGATTTAGCTTACTGGTTTATTTTCAAGTATTGGTTGATTGGTCGGAGGATTTCATCATGAGTTGACATCATTTAGAGAACAATTAGAAAACCACCATGGGGGTACTGGATAGCTAGCTGTTTCGTCAGCCTAGTTTGGAACTCCTCATCAGTACACACCCAACACACGAGGTTCGAACCCAATACCTTCTGATTACAAGGCCGGTGAGCTCGTAGACTGCTGAGCCACTGGGACACGATCCAGTGGCCTATGAGTTCTCACTTCCTCCAATTCATGACACAGCACAATCACTTCACAATATCTTCTTCGATGAGTTGCTACCTCACCTTCAACCTTGTCACCAGAAGGCCATGAGTTCGAACCCCTGTGGTGGGCGCGTACTGTTGTGGAGTCCCAAACTAGGCTGACGAAACAACTGGCTGTCCAGTACTCCCAAGCAGGTTTTCCAATGGTTCTCTAACTGATATCAACTCATGATGAAACCCTCCAACCCTGCTGGTGTATATGTGATGTGCTATTGTACAGTAACTCAGACTTGCTACTGAAATGGTGATTTCATCAATAGTAGTTATAAATACAGTGAAACATTTGTTTAGAATCTTAAAATAAATCTTTTTCTGGAGATATTCCTGAGATAATGACTTTCAGTCATACTAGAGTTTAAAATTCACACTTCCATTATAAAGTAAGTATATTTAAAGGATAGAAAGATGAGTACTTATTGGATTTGGCGTGGTATTCTGTTGAAAATTAACTGAAGCTAAAATTTACGTATTATTTGATTCGGATCCGATTGGTGAGTGGCCAACAGGCTCACCTAGTGATCTAAAGGACTCTGAATTCGATCCTTATTTGTGGACGACCCTAGAACACTGCTGAAGTCTCCTACATTGGAACGAAACAACGTTTTTATGCTTCTTAGTTTTCAATGGTTATGTAACTCATATGTGTCCATGACGCAGTCTACACTGAAGTATTTGTGAATGTTTTAAATTCAAAGGCTTTCATTCTTTGACTGGTGTGTATTAGTTCCTTGTATTATTGATCAGGGATACACGATGGTATTTACTAATCATTGTGAAAATCTGCTGCACTCGGCAGGAAGAAAAAGATTCAGATTTCCAACGCTAATGTCAAACCCGTTGGTGCTTCTGTATGGTTCAGAGACTTGGCGAGTCACTGGAAGCATTCCCAGTAGACTGAAGGCTTTTATGAACATTTGCCTTCTTTGGATTAATACTGAACATCAGATGGCCATATCCTATGTTCTTTTGAGTAAATAATATCTTGTCG